GTGGCACGTAGTGTGAAAGCGCTTTGAGTAGTCGGAAGACTAGAAAGGCACTATACAAGTACAGGTCCATTTACCATTTACCATACAGATAATATATCATCTTAGACATTGATTTGCTGGGGTCGCCAACCTGCATGTTGTCCTTTAAAGTCCAGAAATGATCCAATCATTTTCTCTTCCAGTGAAACAAAACGTGAATGTATGCTCATGTAAGCATGAACTAACTGATTTCAAACAATAATCACTTGTCAATCAGTCTTCAACTTTTAGCCACACAGATCGAAGATTCATCAGCTAGCTAGTAACAGCATGGCTAGCTACCGAAGAGTTTCTGAGGGCAGGAGCTCACTGATTACTGTACAAAGACACAACTTTATCAGTGATTTGGGTAAAAGTGAATCATATTTTATGGAAAAAAATTGTCTGGTTTTCCTTCTGACGTCCTCCAGCTGCTCTTTCTCAACTTCGCTAACTGCAGCAGCCTCCCAGTGAACACAACCTCTGAGCCAGTTGACAGTGACACCGAGCCGATTTCTAGATGGAATTGTTGCACCTTGGTACTTTATTCCCAGTAGTCCGGTAGAGTCAGCACATAGGACCACTGCGGCTGCACAGCACTCTGATTTCTGTTTCATGTGGCCTGTAAGTGGGCCGAATTAGCATGATCCTCTGTTGCCAACATCAAAAGAAGCAATCCAAGTGGTCTGGCCTTTTTAACAAAATTTCTACAAACGTCTGCCTCCACCTGCAGTTTCCTGTGTCCTAAATCCGTTCCCCCTCTCCCTGCCTGTCCCCATGTGCATGGTTTCAGCTGCTGAAGGCTCTAACCCCAGAGGAAAACTCCCTCTGCCAGCACGGCCTCTACTTCCAGGACGGTCAGCGGCGCGTCGACTACGTCCTCACCTACTCTGTGAAGAAGCCTTACACAGGGCGTTCTAGCCGACAGTCAACGCACCTGCTCACAGAGAATGCTGTCGCCCGCAGCCTACGCCGCGGCCCCCAGAGCCGCAACCAACACCTCCGACATCACCCGGCACAAAAGGCAAGAGACTCATCGTCCCTGCTGTCATCACCAGCGGCCGATGTGGAGCTGGGCTGCCCGGGAGAGACCTTGGGCGGCCAGGAGGATCACAAGGCGTTCAGGAGGGAAGAGTTCGAGGGGAAACTGAGAGACATGGGGCTGGAGCTGGAGAAAGATGAGGATGTAAGTTTACATCTTTATTCATTTATTCCTTCCAGAAACAACTCCACCTAAAATCTATTTCTAAGGTTCTCTGTGGACAGAAAGACTGTCCATTTGCAAAGGTTACATTATTTTTTAAATGTGGCTCATATTAGATTCCAGTGTTAACAGGTCATGGTCCTGAAGTGACCTGAAATTAATGTCAAGCTAGAGTGACATAAAAGTCACATGTATTCTGACATGACTGTTAACACTGAGGACACAATGCAAAAAAAATGTGGTCCAAATCAGATACTTTTTGAAATGTGAAGAAAAGATCAGATTGTATGTGATCTGAACCATCCACACTGTCATTTAAAATCTGATTTGGGCCATTAGTGTCTGCAGTGTGAATGTAGCTCGATATTTCAGCTGATTACTCTGCTCTTAATTTAGGTTAGTCAATTGATTGCCTCAATCTTTGTTGTTGTTTATCTGACTTATTCATCTTACCTATATCTGACTGAGGTTTATGCAAGTTAAAATCTGTGGCTCCGACCATGGCTCTGAAATATCAGGAACTATGCTGTGTATTAAGCAATCCACAGTGCTGTCCGTGGTGCTGAAGCAGCAGATGGATTTGTGATTGTGCCTTTTTCTCTCAGCATGCCTTTTGCACAAAAGGGTGCAGATTAATGCAGTTTGTTCATAGAGTTTATTGCATTAGGCATAAAAAATCCCTTATAGATCTTTTTGTTTGCCAGAGGTACTCTAGCATCACACTGAGAGAAGCAACTCAAACTCAGTACGGATGGGGTGTGTAGTGTCACCAGTGATGGGCGCAGTTGTCCTGTGTACAGCTGCACTGTAAAGATCATCCAAACAAATGCCTGTTTTTGTTTGTAAGTGTCACATGACCATACCAGATAGAGATATTATACACAGGAATGCTCTCTATCAGGCTGAGATACACTTTTTTCCAGAATGTCTACTGACCCCTAACACCTTTAGTTTTTATAGAATCAACATTGCTAGTGGAACTCAATTTGTCATCCATGTGTGTTCCTACTTATTCAAACATGTGCAATAAATACTCAATTCTGTACTATATTGTAGCCTATATAGCCCATAGCATAGACCAAAAGTCACTTTCTCCAACTAGTTCAGGCTTCTTACTGGTTCTAACAGATGACATTGCATCACTCCAATCCTAGTGTGTCCATTGGCTTCCTGTTTGTTTTAGATTTTAGGATTTAACTGATCACGTTGGGCTGGACTCTTTGCCCAGCCTCCCTCATTGTCGGGCCATGATTTATCACATGGTCCACCAGAGTGGCCCTAATTTCATCAGACATATATGTCTATCCGTCTTTTGCTATTCTTTGTCCTTGTCCTCTCTCTCTCATGGCTTCCATGTTTGCAGAGTTTTCAAAAAAGAGGTGAGCTCATCTGAGGTCTATTTGTAGTGCAGACTGATTGGTGCAATTTGAATAGAAGTGTTTCCCAGTGATTGCAAGACTTTTCTTTCTTGTACAAAATGTCTAAATGTCAGAAGTGTAGTGTTGCAGAATTGCAAATGAAGTGCAAGCAGTAAATGTGTGTACTTTTGGTGCTTTTGTTTAAGGGATGGTTACAAAGGTTTAGCTGCAATCTGCGACTACATATCTGCATGTGACTCTTTAGTCCCCGTCCAGTGGCTCCCCATGACTTTATCAAAACATATATAGAAATAAATTAGGGTTTTTCTTTTGTTGTTGTAGGCTCAAATTAATAAAGTGAAATTCTTCAATTGTAAAACATTGAATGAATTAATGAATATACAAGCATACTGTAGGTGAGAATTAGACATTTATTGAGAGTGAGATGGACCCACTGGGAGGATGATGAGTTAAGGCGAAAAGATGAGTCTTCAGTTTAGATTTAAAGGCATCAGCAGAGTCAGAATGTTCGATATCACCAGGGAGGTCATTCCAGAGGAAGGGGGAGTGATAGGGAAAGGCCATACTGCCTTATAACTTCTAGGGACAGACAGGAGCCCTCTATTGTGACAGCATAGAGCACGGGTTGTGCTTCATGAGAATTACCTTAAAATCTGATCTGTATGGAAGCCCATTTCCGCCAATGTGACAAAAAACAAAAAGATTCTGTAAGTAATTATAATGAGAAACTTTCTCAAAAATAATGAGAAACTCTCACATACTAAGTCAATATTTTGAGAAAGTTTCTCATTATAATAACTTACAGAAAGAAGATTGTTGAGCCTCAACAGTAACTATCTTCCTTGGTTCTGATTGGTAGTTTTTGTTCAGGCCCTGTGAAGCCAGAGGAACCTGATTTTTTCACAGATTATCAGTCTCATGTACTACTGTCTGGAAAAAGGCAGGTACAGAAGGAAAAAAACATAATGGAGACTAGTTTAATATGAATATTTTACACAAGGTCTAGGCTGACGTTTTTGAATGTAAACTGCATTTTTAGACACATGTGGACATGGCCTCAGTTTTGTTTCTATTTAACTACTAGAAGTTAGGAGACTTCTGAATGTCTTCAATTCAAGTGGCAGCCAATTTCTGTAAAACTATTTGCAGTATTTGCAGAGGTTGCAGCTTAGATATATCTGTGTATCAGCCGTGTAAAAGTGTAAACTGATATTCTTCCCATGTATAAGATGTCCTAATGCCAGCATATAAATAGAAAATAAGGCTCTCCACAGCAGTGATTTGAAAAGGCTGGCCTGAGGTTTCCCGTGCCACATAGATGTTCTTGATTCCTGTTTTCCGGTCATCAGATCAATGGACCATACAATTGATCTCAACCACAGAAGTGCATAGTTTGAAGCCTTGATTCTTGCATGATCTCGTGAGCCCAGCTGCCTAGCAAGGTTAGCAGTGGAGCACCATGGGGCAGAATGCCGTAATGCATTTCTGGTGAAACAGTTCCAAACCCTGGTCAAGATTTAAATTGTTTTGTTATGTAAGTATAACTGTTACACATCTGTAATGAAAACACACAGGGAACTAATAACTATCTAGAAGAACATAGAGGCCAACTTGTTTTCGAGCATGTTGGACAGCCATGTCACCATATTTCGTTTTTACCCATATCAGCACCCTATAGAGCACATCATCACTTTGCTGTCGCTTGCACATTGGACCGTTGTAGAGACGTAAAACTTTTTTTCTGTTTTCTAGACTTTCATGTTTTATTTTTGAAAAGCATTTTAGACAAGACACTGCTATATCACAGAATTTGCAATGTGATGTGACAATTTTCAACATGTAGTAGAATTAAAACTGACTGATAATATGTTGTATGTCTCTTAGACCAAGATTACAGGGGTAGGCTTTGTGAAGATTCATGCTCCCTGGAACGTTCTCTGTCGAGAGGCTGAGTTAATGAAACTAAAGATGCCCACCAAGAAGGTAAGACTTGCCGTCTCTCTCCATTCTCTGTGTAGATTTGTCAGCCACACTATTAAAGTAACCCAACTTTTTAGTTACCTGTGTGTATGTATGTGTGCTATGTTTGTCCAAAACAATGTACTCATTAGGGGTGTAAAGATTCCGATACAAGCTGGTAATCAGTTTTAACATAGATGCGACTACATTGGTACATGGACCCTAGATCGATCTAAATGTACCATGAAGTAGTTGATGGTTCCTCAAAGGTAAAAAGTCTGCTGACACAATTGACAGTGCACCATCAAATATAAAATCTAAAGTAGACATTTGGATTCTATAAGAAGGAAGGGAAATCGGACAAAAGTCTTTGTATGGTCTTGCACTACCAGCATTGCCAAGTAGTGGTAGCAAGTTATTTTTTCCATTGTAGGACCAGTGTTTATGGTTTAGTGGCATCTAATGGTGAAGTTGCAGATTGCAACCATTTCAAATGGCAGGCTCCAGCTTTCCAAAGATCTAAACCCTGAATTATATGGTAAATATTAGCATGGAACAACATGCAGTTTAAACTGCTACCTGTCCCTGCAAAGTGGTGTGTCGTGGTGTGTGTGTGTTGTGTGTGTGTGTGTGCGCGTGTATTTTTTGTTGGGATTACTAGATGTATGAAGTCAAGCAGTCAAGCGGTGTTTTGGAAAAGATCAGCTCTCTGGTCAGTAAAGTTCTGGAACCCCTCCACCCTCATGTTGAGGAACATCAAACCAAGAACATCAAACACCTTTCACACACCTTTTCCAGGGAAAAACAACACCTGTAAGTACACCAGTTTGACCCTTGCAGCCTGACAATGTACTGGCCATGTGATATCTGTGATAAAGCTATTTTGCTCATTGTCTAGCCATTGTAGAAAAAAAGGTGTTACCAGAGGGTTGTTTCATGAAGGAGGCTTATTGAACCTGGCAAACTGAACAAAAATTCAAGTTGTTTTATAAAGCAGACTCTGAGTAAACGTGATCAGACGAAGCCTGGTTTAAGAACTGCTTGTTTGTTTGTTTATATATACAGCCCCTGTGGCACTGCTCATTGTCCCCTATCGTTGTTGTTACCTTTGTCTCTGTCTCTGTCCTTCTGTCTTTACCTCTCTCTCTCTCTCTCTCTCTCTCTCTCTCTCTCTCTCGCCAGACAGCCACCC